TATGATGCCGGTTCGCTACCGGAAAGCACCACCATTGCTAGCATTTGGTTGGGTATGTCATGCATTTGCATCTATATATATGTGTATTCACGACATACGATTATACGAGCATACTATGCATATTTAAGTAATAGGGGGCTAAAGGTCAGCCATGGAGATTATTTGGGTTTCAGTTTCAGGTGGTATCTTTATTACCCTTTTACAGTAAATGTTTATGATTTTACTTTTCGCTTTACATACCAGTACATTTTTATTCTTACTGACATCCTTTTGCCTGGGGACGTTGCTTTTTGTTTTGTGCGAGCAGGTACATGTAAGGACTCTAATCGACCCACCCGCTAGAATTCAGGTTCAGCTGTTAGTTGGTAAGCTCCATCTTATCCTGGGGCTATCAGAGGATGTTTACTTTTGTTGTACAGTTTGGGTATAGTCGGGGTCTTGTCCCGACAGTGCTTATGTCACTCATAGAGGCTATTGTGGACACAATATTCTGGGTGTTCTTTTTGTATGTTTCAACCTCCAGCCAATAGTCTTGGCATGTATATATAGGTGTGTGTGTTCGTAGGTATGTTTTCGGTTGTGGCCTCGTCGGCTAGATAGTACATCTTTATTTTTTTTGGGTTTGTCTACCATTGTTTGTATGGTTATTCTCTTTCAGGTCATGACCTCTGGGTGTAGGCTTCACTTTTTAGAGGTTGTGCTGCCTAATCTTTTTGCCTCACAAATTTGGTTTAGCTAGTATGTTTTAGTGGGTAACTCGATGTATTAGGGTATCGAGTGCCAATTATGCCCCCTATTTCGGGGTGTGACAGTGTGGACTTGGATAAAAAAAATGAGGATATATGGGACAAGGTGAGAGTGGCTTTAATGGAGGACAATATTCGGGAAACGAGACAGAGATGGTTCGGGATGTGAAGAGGAGAAGTGCGGATGCCCCATTGTAGGGGCGTGAGAGGCTGCTATGGACGATTTTAGAATAGGTAGAAGTAGACCAAATTAGTAATGGGGAGAGTTGATTAGACAGGATATGACACAGTTCTAACTTACCGAGGACATGACCCTGGATAGAAGGTTGTGGAGGACACAAATTTGGGTAGAAGGTTAGTAGAGAGTAGTGTGGTGTCTTGTTATTCGTCCTTACTAGTAGTTGCAATATTTCTCCTATAGTTTCGGATCCTTCAATTTATGTTATTATTTGTTGTCTTGTACTTGGACTGTCATATGATTTCACTGTAGTTAGTATCCTATGACCATCTATTGTCTTGTTCCCATATTCTATTCTTGTACTTTTATTACTTCATTTTTTGAATTGCTTTGGACTATTTTTTGTTAAGTCGACTGCCTATCGAAAACAATAATCTACCTCTGAGGTAGAGCCGTAGAGGTAAGGTCTATATACATTTTATCCTTTTATGAAATTACACTTAATATTTATCGTATGTATATAATAATTTTGTTAATTGTACACATTCATATCTTTTTAAGTAAACAATCTTGATTATTCAATACACATTCATATCTGTATTTGAATAAGACATGCCCAAAGGCGCGAAGATGTTATTGTCATGAAGTTGGAGAAATTCGTAATGTAAGAAATTGAAAACTCGTAGAAGCAATTGCTTATAAGCATAGGCAGAAGTCCGCCTACAATTTCAGCAAATAATAAAAAGCTAGAATTTTGATTTTTCAATCCGTGAATTCAATTCACAGTTCAAATTCAAACTGTGAATCGTAATGACAAGTCATAAAATTATACATAGATTTTTTCAACTAAAAGTAGAAGAATGATGCTGCATTTGGATTGCATTTATCCCCTGAACATAGGGCACTAGTAGTTTCTCTTACAGAAGATATGGTATCCGGCCTTTTCGTTCACTGTAGATCACAACAGTCTATTGCACAATACAAAAATATGAATACAAGTGAAAAAATAAAATGTTGTAATTGATCTATTCTGTAAGCTATTGTAGATCGTGTGATGCAAGAACGTGCAAAATTTGTCAAATCTAAATGAGCTTTTTCTTGCGAAAGAAGTTCTTCAGATAAAATACTTGCAGAACTGCAGCTGCTATGCATATACCAAGGGACATTATACTTAACCATGCCACTCTAGAATTGGTTTTCTCGTTTTCTTCCCTCATTACTGCTTCCCTGTGAACGAGATATAAGAATAAACCATGTTAATTGTGAGGTAGGAGACAAAAGAAGGATAAAAGTATCGGTTACACCAAGGTTCTGCAAGAATGTTTTCGTCATTTCTTCGTGAAACTGGTGATACAATGTAATACCCTATTAAGAGTCTTCATAGGATTCAATAAGCACAACAGCAACTATGTTCACTACAAAAGCCAATGTCTATTACCCTTGACATTTTTGAAACTATTTGCCATTACTTCTAGCTCTCTCCAATTAAGGACAGTATCAGAGAATTACAAATTTGAGTATATAATTATAAGTTATCTACTATCCTACATTCCTTTCTCCACGATAAATTTCCTCCGTTGTCTTTTGGATACTGCAGGAAAAAAGTCTGCTTCTTATCGCTATAAATATGCAGAAGCAGACTCCTAGTGGGAAATATAACTCATAAATTTGTAAAAATGAAATAAGACTAGAGGCGTTAGAAACCAACATTGGCACATACTCACGAAAGGACCATAAAACAAGAGGAAAATGTATAATACCAAAAAGTCAAAAGTATTCGCAATAGAAATGAAAACAAACAGCAAACACATATTATCCGGGATGTGGAGCACATTTGAAAAGGTTAGTATGTACTTACCTATCCTTCAGGTACTCTAAATTTTCATGAATGGCTTGCACTATCCCTTCAAGTTTCACCAACTCAAGTTCGACACCCTACAAGGGAAAAATATATGATGAAAGAATACAACATGCAGAGTTAAATAAAAGGAGCATACACAATAACTAATCCCCTCCCAATCTGGCCTTGTAGGGAATTGGTGCAGATGGAAAATATACACTTGTGAACTTACTTCTATCTTATCCTTCCTTGCAACTGATTCCCAATCCTTTGCACTGATTCCTGTCTTCCAGTCAATGCCGATAGTAACAGCTTTAGCCCCAGGGGCATGGTTGTCCATCCAAAAGCATGCCAAGTAGTTACCAGCCTCAGTGGTTGTAAAAGCAAATTGACCATGAGTTACATTCTCTTTATGGTGAAGATTGTTTCCAAAAGGCGATGTGACCTAAAAAGAATGTTGCAATGACCTACCTCATTAAAACTGAACCATTAGTGGAAAAAAGTGCAAAAGTAAATTACTTTTCTCAAAGATTAATTAACCATTTGAAGAAGTTATGCTGCTGTGCTTATCTGACCCGAGATGATAATTCAAGCAATATAGAGCACTTTTACAGGAAAACACATTCAAGTGTTATAACAATTAACACCTAAAAAATTCATCTAAGACCCTGACAAATAACTACGTCTCACGCTCAAACAAGTCGGGGTTGGCTATGTGAATCCTCAAAGTTCATGTTTCTCCACTTAAATTCATCTCAGGTCAACATTATTCGTAAATTGGGGAAGATGAGTAAAAGATAAATAAAAGACAATTTAAATGCATGATCATTTTATGATACAAGAATATAAATCATACAGACATCATTTCCTTTTTATAAGGTAATATACAAACATCATTAAACACTACTAAATGCATCTTACCATCTTTCACCATAGGTTAACAAGCCCATTACCATGTGAATGGGTGTTGTCACAGTATTGACCAGTACATCATTAACTGAGAGTCTGACCCCATGAAGTTCACCAAAAGCATACCAATTAAGGCACTGAAGCACTTGCATATTTATTCTGTATTTTTACTCCAAAACTTATAGGTAGCTCTCCAAGAAACAATAGCTGTGATTTGTCATTTCGTAATAGATCTGTAGTGTTAATCACAAGGCAATCTATCCACTTTTTCTAACTAGCATCTCAGCTTCTTAACATCTTTTTTTGAAGGCAGGTTTTTCTTTAGATGTATAGTTGAATCCATGAAATGTCTTGGAGAATTCGATTTCAGAATGATGATAAGCATCTATGATCTATGCTTCAAAAAGACACTAGGTACAGGACAAAGTGATGAAAGGAGTATTTGGATAGGTGAGGCTGCTAAAACTAGAGCTATAATGAGTTTTTGGGTCTCTACATAACAAACTTAGAATGCAAGGTAGCAAATATAGGTAACACGTCCAACCCGCCTAGAATTTTATGGGTTGGGTTCAAGATAATTTGAATTGGGTTCAATCTCATCTCATTCAAGCCTTAACCCATTTTAAAAGAATCTTCAATTGAACCCTTTGGGGGTGGCCCAGTGGTTTGGGCTTGGGACTTGCATGTTGAAGGTCTCAAGTTCGAAACCCCTTGCCAGTGAAAGCAAGGGGTTTGCCTTCTGGGTCGAGCTCGTCACACCGGGATTGCTTAGTGCAGGTTACCTCTCCTATGTGGTTTGTGAGCTATTGCATAGGAGCGGGGGTTTTACCCTGTGCGCATCCAAAGGGTAGAGGCTGCGGGTTTTTCTTGTCATCAAAAAAAAAAAAATCTTCAATTTCGACCCGTTTAAGGCCCTTTATTTGCATTGATGTAATGTAAGTTCCTATATTGAAGATATGAATTACTATCTATTTTATATGTTCTAGGATATATCTATCCATTTGTAACTTCTTCTTTTTTAAATTTTTTTGAGTTGAAATTGAAATTGTGGTTATTAAACTTAAATAACAATATGTTAAAATTATTGAGATTAAGCGGGTCAAATTGGGCGGATCAAGACCAAACCCATTTTTTAGCCCATTTGATCCCAACCCATTTGAGCCCAAAATAAACTTGGACAGAGCAGGACCCAACCCGATTTTTATTTCAAACTATTTTAATATCTTCAAGTTCAACCCAACCCGTCCATTTGAAACCTCTACAAGGTAGCATAACTTTTTCACAATTTCAACATATATAAAATACAAGCATGATCTAGACCCTCAAAGAAACCAATTTGCAACCTTGTCTTCAGTCTTTATACAAGCAACTTGGAGTAAGTGCAAAAACACATTCTTTTTTTTTTTAATGAAGCTGATACCATCTTTACTATAGTATGTAGTTAAAGAAATAGTTCAGCTAAGTTTATGATTTCACCGCATTCATGAGAGAACCAAGTGTCTTCCACCATAAGAAAATCTTCTTTAACTAAAGTGGCACAACAAACGACACTATAATTTAACAATGCAACACACTCTTGCCATGACAAAGTGTAAGAATAAGTATTGGAGTGTTGAAGAATATACTTACTATGTCACTATTTCCGTAGTTGAGACCTAGCTAATCTTGTTACTTTGTTGATATGGTTTAAAGTCTATTCATCTATCTCTATTTACGTGACACTAACTATTTTGCAATCAAACTCCTAATCTTGAGAAAAAAATTCTCATATGTATTGTAGTAACATAAATTTGAAAATTTTGAAAAACCAATTATTCTCTTAGATATAATTCATAACATTGGCTTCAATAATTTAAGTTACATTCTCTGACTTGAAACAATTCAATTCAAAATTTGAAAACAATCCACCTAGTTCACCTGAAAAAAGAAAAGCAATCGAACAAACTGAGTCCAATAAGATGGAGAATAGCGATTATTTTATAAATGAAGACCTCATCGATTCTATACATTGAACAGAGAATTGGCTCCCAATGTGCAATTTAATAGCCTTTTGTTTTTTTTTTCTGTTGTCTCAAGATTAACTGTATTAAATTGACTTCGAAGATCAAAACTAGGAAGATTTGACAATCAAAATATCCATAATGTGCTTAGTGTTTTGCAATTAATAAGCATCAATTATTGCAGGAAGTTAAAATTAAGACATTTTAAATGCAATCGCAGAGTCAAAGTGTACACAAAGTTGGTCAATTGGATCTAAACATCCTTCAGCTACTATAAATCTCGCAATATCAATTTTTTTTTGTTAGCACTAATAAGCTAAAATTAGAGCACAGATGATATGGCGGTGCCTTACCTTGACAGAGATGGTGGGGACAACATTAGCTTGAGCGTGCTCTTCGTCACCGATTACACTGTAATCCGCCAAAACGACGACGTTCGTATGGATATCCTCCGACAAACACTTGGTCCCCGAAGTCGGCAGTTCCATCCATATCGCTTCCGCCACCGTCATCACCGTCAACAACAGCAGAACAAGTTTACAGAGCTCCATGCTTTGTTTCTACTGACGGAATCGGAGATGAGACTTCAGATTTGAGATTTACTCTTAGTTTTCAGAGGGAGAGAAGAGTAGACTTTTTGAAATGTTAATGTGAGTTTTGGGGGTAGTTTTCAGATTCTATTCGTTGAATGAACGTGCATAGCACGCACTACTTGAATGATGGCGGGTGTGATTAAAGCGCGTGGGTATGGAAGAGAGAGACTAGATTGGCGCCACGCAATTTCTTCAACGATATCCAATAGGAATGCATCCACTTTCCACTTAGGACGCCAGAGGTTACATGGACGGGGAAGTTGGTCACGCGCCTTTGGTCATTCTGTTGCTTTTTTTCTTTTTCCCCCGTTAATAAATTTATTTTTAATTTTGTATTTGAGTTTGACTAATTTTGATTTTGAATAGGCTAGCACCACTCATGAGACACTTCTACCAGCAAAGAGTTTTTTCATACTCAGGGTCACTAACTTAGACTTCTGCTAAACACACCGTATCACACTTGACAATTTGCACACGAATCTTTCACAATTTTGAGAATTGCTTAAGAAAGTTTTATATTCCTTAATACTTGGGATATTTGCTTGATGATTTTACAAATTGATGTCTCTTTATTTATACTACTTACTTAGGGGTTAATATGTAAATAATAATTGTTAAACAAGTTTCAACATATTTATAAATAAGTCATTTTCTAGAATTCTCTATATAACTAGAACAATATTCAAAGAACCTTTCATGTAAATTCATAGAATTTTAAAGTCATTCAAGGAATTCTTCATATATCTTTAGAATATTTTTTTAATGTAAGTATTTCACATGGACAACTTTATGTCACGTGGTGCCTAAGTGACATGATGATGTGTCGGGTCATCACACTTTTCTCCGCCTGATATGCGTTGCTACTGCATTAACTCTCATATCTTGTCTTTGAATCACCACAAGTCATCTTATCACTCCCATGTGGCTTCCTCCGGTGCTTATCCCTTCCAATGGACAAGGAACATGGCCGTGACTTCTTGCCTTTGTTTCTACCTAACCTGATGGTCAATGATAGCCTCAATTTTCCGATCAAGCGAGTTGGTGAGGGTAATCGCTGCTTGAATTGTCTGACTTCGGCTGGAATCATCCTTGTCTTCATGGTATGGTTTGAGCATCCTAGCCTGGAAGATCCTTAAGATGAGGTGGTAACTCTAACTTATATGAGATCTTGCCCACCTAGGCAGTGATCTTAAACAGTCCCTTATACTTCTATACCAAATTATGGTGTACACCTCGTAGTGCCTTAAACTGTCTTTGGGTTAAACTTCACTATAATCATGTCCCCAACTTAATAATCTATAGGATGATGCTTGCGGTCGGCTAACTTTTTCATCTTCTTTGTTGTTTTGTCCAAGTAGAACTTAGCATTGAAATTGTTATAAGAGAAGTAGAGCTTGGAACTGTGAACGTTATAGGGAAAAGGGATCGATTCACTCACGTGGGTTGGAATATATCTGTTAGCCTTGCTTAATTAGTACAAATGAAATCTTACATGCACTTCACTATCCACTAATAATTATAGAAATATAGGCGTTAGGAACTGTCGAGTAGCCCTAGAGTTATCGGCATAATGCCTAATCAATAATGTTAACCCTGCTGCCTGCAATTACTAGTAACTCAGGAAAATAATTAATAAGTGTGCGGTTGGATAATAACTCAATCGGATTTTTAAATTGGCATGACCCTAAATCCGTTTCACATCTGAATTACATAAAACGAATCCTCTTCTTGCTACACTTGTTGTTATTCTTAGTTAAACTCAGTGTAGTTAAACATAATTCCCAAAATAATTCAAATTAGACGATCAATCCTATAAGTCTTTGTGGGTACAATATCTGAATTTTCATCCTATATAATGTGTATGGCCGCTTATATATACTTGCATGTGCATTGGATAAAACTGACTATAGAACTTGTAATTTCTATAATAACAAGACTGGTTTACAAGAAATTAAGAACCTACCACATGTAATGCAAAATTATTATTATTAGGAAGAAGAGACAGAAGAAAAGCTAATGCAAATTAAAATTATGCTGAAGCTGCTACTTTCTGTTGGCTTGCAATGTATGTCAGGTAGATATTCCACACATAAGAAAATGTGTTGACCACAAGTGGCTGTCAAAACAATAACAAAAACCATATAGTTATTTTCTCAGAAAGAAAGACATACGTACACATTATCTAGAAAAGAGTTTAAATTATATATGTATGCACGCGAACCTGTAAATGAACAGGGACAAATTTGAATGTGATAAAATCACATATTGGCCAGTACATAAGACCATTAACAGCAGTAGGAACCAAGTCACGTTTCAGTCTTGCCACAATTTCTGAACTACTTTCACCTATAATCATGTAGCAAAATCAAAATTCAAACATATACTTCAAAGTCAAATTTGTCATTCAATACATATTTAGCTGCAACTAAACTATTGTCGTTAATTAATTAGTATATACCTTGTGCTGCAGCGTTGATGGAGAAGAAGATAGCATTCATGGTAGGTCCATATAGGATCTGTCCTAATGCTATCTTTTTCAATGTTGAAACGGCGTCACGCTTTGGAAGGAATGCTGAGAGTGAGTTGTACCAGACATGGAGTGAAGGCCCTAAAATTACCATCGCAAAACCAGCTACCCTCATTGTTCGTATTAGATCATACTGCCCTGAGAATGAACCAGCTACAATTGTCTGTCGACGGTGAAAAAAATATTATAGTATATGATATTGACAAGTATTTCTACTAGTAGAACAGAGTTGAGAAGAATTTTTTGGACCAACAAAATGATCACTTCGGCGTATAAATATCTATTCATGTTTGTGGATTATATTTAATTCGCGACCTTCTAACTTAATCAGCATTCACAATGTAGTCCTAGGGGCTTTGAGGGTTTTGGTTAGGGGGAGAATTTGTGAGACACAAGTGATGCATTATCACTTGTGTGAACCTCCCTTGTATTCCGAGTGAATTGGTTAAGGTTATTTCTCTGTACTCTCATATTTATATAGTGGATTGCTCATCTCCTTTGTGAACGTAGGTCGATTGACCAAACCACGCTAAGTCATGGTGTCTTATGGTATATTTCTCGCTTGTCTTGTTACTCATGATCTTTCGAGGTTTGCTTTACTAGCTAGCTTCTGCATAACACCTAATCAATTTTCGGTCCTAACAATAATAACGCGTAGAAGAGTTGTATGTACCTGTGCAGTCAAATCAGCAGCAGTGACAATAAGAGTACAAGTGATTGTCTTGGTGAGAATGGGACGAGAGTCAAGCATTTGTAAATACCACCCAATGAATCCAACTTTGTTGCCGCAAGCAGCTCCAACAGATGATGAGAAATGCCTACATTTTGACAACTCCCTGCTAGTCTTACTAATTTGAGTATACATCATTTTTGAATGTTGAAGTTTGTGACATGATATAGGATATTTATGGGCTAATTTGAAGCTATTTTTGAGGAAAGAAACAAACATCTTTTTTTTTGTTTTTTTGGTTTGATAGTGAATGATTCAAACAATCTCTTATGTCGGCTTTATATATATTATACATCATGAAAAAAAGTTAGTCCCAATTAGTGAAGTAGGGGACTATAGGGCAGCTGCATGCCTAATTTCTTGTGGAAAGTTTGGCTGCCTATAATTTCTAGCTACGCATTCACCTTATAAAAGATATATATATTATACTATATATACTAGTTGGTTCAATACATTTTAAAGGATTAAATGTGCTACATGGATTACAATTTGATACCAACACTCTGTTCATATGGTTGTTCCATATTGTCTCATAATGTATTATATTGTACTATGTTATTTTTATGAATATAATTAATGTTTGGATAGATAATAGATTGTATCATTTTCTGTCATTACGTAATGTCACACATCAACAATTTGAGTGATGAACTAGAAAAGTAAGGTACATGATAGGGCTACTATGAAAAGGTAGGGTAAAAGATAAAATAAGATTATTAAATAATAAGTAAAAATCAAAATGAGAAGAAAATATTAAAGAAACGACGTGATCACACCAAACCAATCATTACACAAAATGAAACTTTTCGTCGTTACCTATCAATGAATTTAAATTATACGATATGATAAAATTTAAGTAATAATCAAAACAAACATTGTATTAAACTAACAATAAAATACAATACAATGGATATCAGCCATCCAAACTAGGTGTAATTATCCCTCGAGTAGTTGATCTTGTAGTTTTTTTAGAATTAGTTATTATATGATTTCTTTCTTTTTTTGGTTTCCCATCCGTTGTCCGGAGTCCACATTAGAGCTCCGACTAAATTTGGATCGCGCTTTGTAAGGCCCATTCGGGGGTGGCGCTCTCAACATGATTTTCTCCATACCCAGGGCTCGAATCCGAGACATCTGGTTAAGGGTGAAGCACTCCCACCAGCGCATCACAACCTATGTTGGTTATTATATGATGTTAAATATTGTGGTTTTCGAAGTAAACTCATTTTCCACTTTAGTTATCTCCATTTTGTAAAGAACAAAAAAATAGTTAGTACTATAAGGGATGGGCAAAACTACAAGATTTCCATACATTTAGTTAGTTACATGAATATAGTGTGATGTAGATTTTGACTCAATTACCTATATTCTTGAGAATGTTACAGTTAGCTTGCGGTCACATCACATATTAAAGTTTCACCGAAAATTTAATTCTTGAATGGATCTTTTGAATATTAAGTAGTGTAAAAACTTAATCATGAAGTTTCAAACTCAATGAACTATCTCATGAAATTCAATTTTTTATCAGTTCAAACTCTAGAAATAATTCATCAAGCTCAGACTCAGACTATTAAAGTCTATGTGATTGTCTGAGCTTGGTGGAGTTTCAAACTCCAACAAACATTCAAATCGTTATTAATTTAAATTCAAAAGTAGCAACAAATTAGCTATCAAATTATAATTTGTCTCCAAAATAAAAAATAATTAACATCTAATATAACGATCGATTAGCGACGGAAATATAAATCCATCACTAATAGAGTGAATAATTTGTCAAAAGAATTCGAAACATCGAGAGGAGCTCGTATCTAAAATTTTAGATACAAGAGGAGCTCGTATCGAGAGGAGATTTGAGTTGATCAAAGATTGAACGACTTCATGTTTAGCCATTAAAGTTTCTTCAAAGCTCAACTTTAAAATTTGACATGCTGCAAATATGAATGTTTTGACTTAATAATATATCAAAAGACTCGAAACATCAAGAGAAGTTTAGCTTCTTCAAGGCTCGATTTTAAAATTCAATGTGTCGCTAAAATGAATCATTTAGAGTAAATATTACATCAAAAGACTCAAAACGTTGATAGGAGCTCATATCTAAAATTTGGGGCTATTTAGAGGAATTTGAATTGATGAGGATTGAAAAAACAAAATCAGCATACAGTGTATATGAATATATATATATATATATATTCATATATATATACATCTTTGATACATAATTATATATCATATATACACAATATACACTATTAATACAATATCATTACGTTACCTATCCATACGATCATTTTCATTGCGAGTTACCTAAGAATCCGTATATTGAAACTTACATTCCATCTATAGCACAACCAATACAATATTCATTTCTAGATTGTTAATCTCTAAATTATTTTTTTCGTCAAACTTGATTGGTGAAAGCTAACGTTGATTTAATGTTGGTTCACTTTGTAAAAATTTCATATGAAGTTCGAACTTCCATTTTTTTTTTCAATTCTAAAATTTCGTTTCTATTTAATAGTTTTTTTAACTATTAAATTGACAGAAGTCATTAAAAAAAGAAGAGGAGATTGAATGTTTTTTTCTCAGTAATGAAAAAATAAACATGAATTGTGTTTGAGGTAACTGCTGGAACACAATAATATTGTATAAAAATAAACAAATTTTATCTTTTATTGGAACACATGCACAACGGTAGTGGCGAAGTCAAAATTTTATTAAGAATGTCCAAGAATAATGGTGTGTGGCTGTCAAAAATAAAATAAAAAATATTGTACTATTTAGGGTTCCAACCCGGAACTCCTTCATTCACCACTGGGTCAAAGGCATTAATTTTGTCAAGGGTGTCCAACTTTAAATATATACTAATCATTTAAATATAGAATTTGACATATATATACAACGTAATTTTTCGACGAAGATGTCCAATTGGACACTCTGGATGGCTATAGCTACGCCCTTGCACAACGGGACATGAATAATAGATAACACATATATGTATGCTAGGATACATACGATCACGCTAAAACACATAAATTTTTTGACATTTGATTCAATAAATCTCTCTCAAAGTATGAATAAGGATGTTCAAGCAAGTTCTTAAGTTTGACTCCAATTCTGCAGTGATCCCATATTTTTATTGCGGACTATTTCAATATTTGAATGGATAAATATTGTGGGAAAAAAAACTCATTGTTTTTCTAGGTTAGAAGGAACCATACAGATATAGGAAAAAAATTCATATCCAAAAACTAGACAAAATGAATTTATTTTCTTCTCTACCAAAATACAAGATGTTGAGTCCTAATATGGGCACATCACAGACCACATAATTAATTACTGATGATCCATATTATGAAAGTAATTAAAAATTTAATTTGAATTAGTCTTACCTTAATAAATTACAAATCATTCTACTAGAAATTCTTAATTTCACTCCTCCATTTATATTTAGAAACTCTCCATTAAACACGTATGTCATTCCTCATGTTAAGATTACAGATAATAATCAATAAATTAAATTACTCACGAATTTAATTCAAAGATTAGTTTTCTTTAGAGCACTACTTCCCTTATTTCATGTGTTAGATTTATAAATCCACTTGTAAGGTTTGACACAATGAAATCTTATTCTCAAAAAGGTGTATATATCATCAATATTTATATCGAGACATGAATTTCATCAACTAACATATTATTTCACCATTATATGTTATTATCATCCAACCTACCAGACATATTGATCAATCTCAGGATCTCACCTTTTAAAAAATGGAGAAGGGCCTAAAAGGTCCTTCAACTATTTGAAATGGTACAAAATAACCCTTCATCCACTTTTCGACCCCAAATACCCCTGACGTCAACCTTTTTGCTCAAAAATACCCTTGATATTAATTCTTTGACTTATATTTGCCCTTATTTTTAAGAGTTCCCCTATAGTAAAATCATTAAATATGTATTTATTATGTAGCATAATCTGATTGGTACAAATTTGAACCCTTCTCAAATAAATAATAAATACTCCCAAAGAATCGGTAAAGTCTTTTCTTTTCTTTTTTTTCTTTTTTTTTTTCCTAAAAACATATTACTGTGAGATCTGTACACTTCCAAATGATTGCAACCCACACCTGGTAGCTTTACAAGATTAGCTCGAGTATGGAGGTTTTCCGGCGACGGAAGGAAGCCATGGAAGAAGATTGAGTACTAAGTGGATGCACTTTCCTAAGGGCATCTCCAACCCTAATCTCTATTTTACTCTCCAAATATAGAGTTCTCTATTTTTTCAGACAACCAACTCCAAACCAATTCTCTATTTTACTCTCTAAAAAAGAATTTTTTTCTCTCTCCTCAATATTATATTATTATTTCTATTTCATTATTATTTTCTTATTTCATGATACACATCCTTTATTTCCTTTTTTCCAAATAATCACTTTATATAATATTCATGTAATATAAAATTTTATTTTTTCAAATTCATTACTTAATATAAAATTATATTTTTCCTAAATTTATAAATAACATAAATTGCAAGTTAATATTATATAATATACAAATTAATGGACAATTCAAATAAAAGTGAAATTATTAGTGAAATATAATTACATAAATACTCTACTTTCAAGATTATTACACTGCTCTCATAAATGCTCTATTAATGCATTACGGAGTTCAAAATGAACATTTTTATCCTTAATCATTTTATGTCTAGCTAAAGATTGTTCAAATCGGAGATTTTCATTCAACAAGAACAACTACGAATAATTGAAAAAAGAAATCAACAAGCACAACCGCAATCATAACTACACTAATTATGTGGATCATACACTATTTTTTTCGAATATTGTTAAATCTGAAAAATGACCTACCGGATTACTAAATTATCGTTGTGATAAAATTATTATGTTATGTATTGTTATCTTGTATTTAAATTATTATGTCATGTATTGTATTTTTAAATTAAAATTTTTTTTAAATGTTATATTACATTTAAAATGAATTATTTATATTAGAGATATAATTAATGGTCTATATGAAAACCCATCTCTATTTTACTCTCTATTCTCTATAATTAGAGAGTAAAATAGAGAATGGACTCTCCAACCCCCCTCCATATTACTCTCTATCCTCCATTTATAGGGAGGTGAATAGTAGTTCTCCATATTTGGAGAACTACTATTCACCTCTCTATAAATGGAGAATAGAGAGTAATTTATAGGGTGGTTG